TATTTTTTTTCGTTTACCAGCCAATTGCTCCTGGTGTGTCAGGATTCGTGGGATTATTTCCAGTTCAATCTCCCGCCTTGTATCTTCTGTATATTTATCCGTCATTTTTTTAACTTCCACCATAATATCACGAAGAACGTTTCCTTCATTACATATATATATATATATATATGATCTACTGGTAATCTCTAAAATCTATTTATAAACCTGTAAAAATAGTCTTGCAGTTGAGGTGAAAGGGATTCGCGGTGTGTCCGCTGATTTAAGCGACGCGCCTCTTTATGATTTCGGGAAAGTCGTGCTAAGCCGTCGTTTATCCCCGCGTCATAGATATCGTTAGGGCGTGGAAGCATTCTGCAAGATGCTTGCAAAAGCACTGAGAAAAAAGGTGACTAAAGGGTGGGTGGGATCCCAGTCAGCCAGCTCTTTTGTGGTAGTTGTGATTGAGGAATTACTAATAACCTTTTAATCCTAGGCTAGCCAGATCCCATTCTAATCACAGTTTTGTGTGATCTTCGATTAGGCCAGCACCTGCATCTCCCAGTACAGCTGGCGGAATTACTTGTATTAAATGCAAGTAGTGTGGAAAATAAAGGTGCACCGAAAGCATTTCAAAGAATTCAGAAGCCATCTTATAAGCGGCCTCGTCTATATAGCACCAGAATACAAACAAGATCAAGAAGAGGCAGATTGCCAGTTTTTTCGCCTAGGCAACCTGGCGGTGGTAGAGATTGGCCTGAAGGCATTCACGATCTACACAACCGACCCTGTGGGGTTGTGTTTGCTAAGCTACTAGCTCCCGAACGCGTACCTCCCGACCTCAGGAGCCAATGAAGAAGTGGCAGCAGGACAACAGACCAGCCTTGGGCAAATCCGCCGTGGCCGAGTTACTAAGAGCATGCTATAGCAGCCCAGGCGACCGTTGAGGAGCCTCAACTCCGAGGACGAGACTGCCTTCACTTTCAGCAGGCCTTTGTGCATGTTAAGCCGAAACCTTCGGCCGAGGTCTGGCACTTTCCAGGGCGTTTGGAAAGGACGCAAAGTGAGCCTGTGCAGATGACTCTTTTCTCATTTTGGCACCTGCCGTTGTGACAAGCCTCATTGAATTCGACAAAAGGTGATGGCTCGAGGTTTTGCTGAGCGAAGTAGCCGATCAATAGACGTGAATGTGACCAGAACATAATGAGTGTAAGAGAGCCGCCACAAGCGATCTATTATGTAAGTTCGAAGTGAGGCTCAAAAAGCCGGCTCGGCCCGGCCCCAGAGGCAAGCACACTAAAGAGGTGACAAGTTAGGCTCTGCGCAAGTCTGTGCTTCTGTTGAAGAGCAAAGGGTAGGCCATCGAAGTTGATCCGATATCAGAAGCAAACCAACCATGGCTGAGAATTCGCTGATCACTTTGCCAGGACCGTAGAAGCACATATATACATCGTTCTATCCGTCTCTCAAACTGTCCAGATATCTAGTGGCCTATTTATAGATTCGGTCGCCGTTCAATCGACTGTTGATAAGCCGAGTGTATAACTGCGAGAGAATTCAGTTGGAGTGAAGAACTTGCATTTTTTGGATAAAACCAGCTAGAATTCAGATAGGCCGACCGGCCCAAGCGATGGCAACCTGTCTGCTGGTTCGCAGTAGAAGATTTGCAAAGAATTCCGTACCGGCTGTGGATATTGACGGATGAGATGCAGTTTTCGTGGCTCAATAATGCGGATAATATTGCCATTTGCAAAAGAGGAGGGTTGTGCATACATGCCAATTCAGCAGAGATGCATCACTAACCGCTTTACAATCTGCTGTGAAATGCTGGTATCCTCGCCGAATGTGTACTAGGCTGCAGCCAGTATAACGAGGGAACCAAGCTGAAGTGGATAAACAGAAAGGTTGCAACAAACGCCATTCTGCGGAAAAACTACCTTTCGAAGAATTCCTTAATAGATTCCATCGGAGGCTGTGGGAGGGTTGCCATGGTGTTGAAGTTGTAGATTTTGGCGAATATGTCCTCGGCGAACCGCTTGGCTACCACGATAAATCCTTGCTGAGCCTTCGTAGTCATGTGACGGACATCGTCAGAGCATGACAGGATGGTTATCGATAATTAAACAAAACACGCCGAGGCAAAAAAAGTGGTCGGTATAAACCTACTTTCATCTTATATTCCAATTTGGTCCATATATGCGTCCCATGTTTTTGTTTGGTGTCCTATGCCCCGCCTCTATATTTGCTCATAAGTTACGTTAAGTGGCTGCGGGTGACATGTGAAGTGGCTACAGATGAAGCGTGAAATGGGAGCAATTGAAACCACACAACTGCATCCTCTTCTAAACCACTTATGCCTTTGATCCTGCAATGTTACCGCATGTGATTGCGTATCATTTCATATGTGTTTTGTGAGTGCATTGCTCTTGAAATGAGTGCGATATGGAAGTCAAAGCCATGTTTCAGACTCATCAAGCCTCCTCCTCTTGCTAGGTGGTATTTCTCGTTTCTATCTCTCACTATCTATCTCTGAAACTATCCAACATCCGCAAGTATTTCCCGCTTAAATTCTTACACTCATTCCTTCTATTCAGAGTATTGGCTGTGTTGTTGATTTCTATCACCTCCCTAATCTTTCGCTTACTGGTAAAGTCTGCATATATATGGCTGAGCATTTTGCATTAGACCAATCAATCTGGTGTCCTGTACGAACCATGTGTTCGGCCAATTCTGACTTTTGGACTCATACCCTTACAGGCTGTTTTGTGTTCAGATAACCTCTTATGTATGAGTCTAGAGTTCTCTCCCACATAGACACTACCACATGAACACCAAATCTTGTAACAGCCCGATCTGGAGAGCGGGTC